TATTTCAAATTTCTTGGTGATATTAATTCCCAACAAAACAGTTTAGATACTACAAAGCCCACACCTGATATGGGATATACAGAAAGTGTCACCCATACCAAGTCCCCGAGTTCAGCTGGGATGAACATTTTTAAAGCAGGATGGAAAGAGGTTGGAAACTAAAATGTTAATGTTACTCCGTTACCTTTCTCAGCATCAGCCTTCTTGGGTCAATAGCTGAGAGTAATAGCATGACATTTAATAACAGAGGGTGTCTTATTGCTTCTTAACCCTTGCAGAGTATAATGGGTTTTATCCTCTACATTCAGTCTGGAAATTATTGTCCATGGTTATGCCTTGGGAAGTACAAGTACTGTGGTGCAACAGGAGTGGATCTGTAGAATGAAACCAGTGATTCAGAGGACACTGGGTACCCACTGCGTGTTGAAGAGTTTATGTCAGACTAGCTTTAGTTTGGTCATGGGAACTGATGGCCCATTAATACCGGATACACACAGCTAAAATGCATCCCGTTGCTTAGCTTCACCCTAACAGAGTCCAGCGTTTGTCCTCCAAGATCACTCTTCAATGCAAACCATGGAGTAGCAACTGGAGCAGGGCATCCACTTCAAAAGTGCCCTAAAAACCCAAATTTTAATGTAGATAGACCCTTTGGGAACTGGAATTAGAGAGGGGTGGGAAACAGATTTGCCGTGATGTGAAACTTTCAGAGGCTGAACATAGAGCTGATACTGTAAAAGTTTTATGTGTTTGGGGTGTGGAGGGAAGAGAATTTTTAAAATTTGTAATGTAGACAAAAAAAAACAGTACAGCTAGGAAATTACACTGGTTTAGTGGGAAATACTTCTGACTTGTATGGAGGCAAAGTAGAGAAGGATGAAGTGCACTCTCTTCTGATGGCTGAAACCTCTCTTTCAGTCAGGAGTAAAGGATCTTAGAGTGGTGTCACCAGGAGTGGGATAGCAGAAAAAAAAAAATAATAAAAAAAAAAAAAAAAAAAAAAAAAAAAAAAAAAAAAAAAAAAAAGTATCACTGGCTACATTATATTACAGCAGGGAAACAAAAAATAACATGACAATCCTACCCAGACTCCCTCCCTAGTAATACCCCAACCTGTGGGAAATCAAACTCCATGGTAAAAGTCTGAAAGGAGAAGAGTTTGGATTACGTGGATTGTACAACTATAAGGGGGAGCTGAATTTGATCCTATCTACAAGAATCAACCTAATACTTCACACAATTCTGCTCAGAGGAGGAAAAGACCAGCAGAGAAAGAGAAGGTTCAGCCATCTGAGGCTCTGCCTGTAGAAAAAAATAAAGGGCAAGCAATCTTCACTTTGAAACAGCAACTTTGCTCCCTTTAAAGTGGAGCCCATGAGGAACTACCAATGAGAATAGCTTTGGGGGTTTTGGTTTAGATAATTATTTTTGCATCTACACACAACCATTATGTAGAAGCAAACAGCACATCAGAAAGAGAAGAACCTCATTGCAGTACAATGAGAAATACTGTCAAGCAAGGCTCACCAGCTTTCATGAAATTGTTTCAGAAGTGGCTGTGAGCATAAATATAATTCTCTCAAAAAAACCTTTTCTCACCTGCACAACCATGTTTTAACAAATTAAAAGCTTTCTCTCCGAAGGTAATGATAAAGTTAGAATGAAGCTGTCTCTGTGTTTGGTATTTTGATATAGAGGGAACATCTTAATATGTTCTGAATAAATTTATGAGTGTTATCTGCTAATGTACTAACTCCTCAGTTGGTCTGATGTCATCTTTGCTTAGGTGTTATTGTGAAGCTTTGTTCAGACAGAAATGTTTTTTTAGTGTCATAAAATGACAGAAATCACTTCCCAATGTTTTTCCACAGATGCAGAGAGCGCTTTGAATTGAAGAGCTTAATTATGATCAATATTTAGTATATAATTTCAATATTCAATTTATTTTAGAAGACAGACATTGAGCAAAAGAATCCTTCTGACCTGGAAGGTTTGAAAATCAGGAGCTAAAAATTTGTCCTGGGTCTGCCATAGAAAGGTGATAGAGCAGCAGGTTGAAGGAACAACAGAAATGGTCTTAAACCCCAAAAAGGGGTAGAATGCAAGCTGCTTGTAACAGTCTGACTAACAATATTTATGAGAAATATTTTACATGTTTCTGGGGGTTTTACTGTGGTACGTGTATAACTGGGGGCTTTGAAAAAAGAAATCAGGCTTCATATGAGAGGAAGGCTGGTGAGCAGCTGCCTGCTGGGATGAGCGTTGGTGGGGAGGAAAATGAAGGCACTGTTGAAGCTCCAAATTAAACATCAGTTACAGTATAAATCCTAGTTTATACATGGTTCTGTAGAAATTATCTGTGGATTTCAAAATGAAGCTTTTTTACCTCCCTAGCTCTGAGTGCAGATATTGAGTTTAGTGGTTACATTACTGAGAGCGCTCCATCACAGAAAATCTACGCTTTAGCGATGTGCCTTTTGAAACCAAAGTTTTGTATTAAGTTAACGTGTAATAGATTTAGCAGGTACCAGAAATTAACCTCACCAAGAAAAACTCTGTTGTCTTACGAGTAAAGATAAGCAAAATTTTTTTTGACCTAATTCAAATCCACAGATGGTTTTGGAGATCTGCTTGTAGTTCATGTAGACTCACTTTTATACAAGATCTGTTTTTAAAACCCTCAGTAGATTATAGCATTATCTCTTAGACCATACTGTCAGATCCCCTGATGATGCAAAACAGTGCCCTTTGAATTTAACCTTGATTTGATAAAAGTTATAGTAATTCAATACCTTTCAAAATCAGGCCACTTCTGAAACTGCATTGTTTCAGAGTATATGTAAGAGACCGTCTTGAATTGAAAATGTGGGCTCTAAAATACTTTGGTTTTTGTTGGATCATTGCCAAACTCCACAAAACTAATTTGAATAAAAAACCAACATGGTAGTTTCAGACCTAGATTAACATTAGTGATGGGGGTAGGGGGAAGAGGGGAGAAGGAATAGCTGTCTACCTGCACAATTAATAATTGGGGTTTGATATGTACATTGTAAAGGTGGAAAAATCCAAATATTGGCAAGAAAAAAAAATCAGCAGAAAATGTAAAAATCCACCAGAAGTAAATATCAAATACCAAAATGTATTTAAAACAACTTTGATTCATGCAGGTTACTTATGTTTTAAATACCATGAGTATTCCAAGACACTTTGCACAACTAATTTTGGGCAAATTAATTAAATGAACTTCAAATCTATGATTCCACTAACGTAAAAGTTGGAAAAAAATTTCTAATCTAGGGTTATGATTACATTCTTGGAAGGACTAAGATATAGAAAAGACATGTTAATAAAGTGTTGGTCTTATTAGGAGGTGTATTGAGAACCCTTGAGAGATTGGAAATTCTTACTACTTTTTTCTGTAACATGCTTAACATTTTGCCACCAACACCATTTAACAAAAATTGACATCAGCTCTGTATTCTACTTCTTGCATATCTATGATGGTCATTGACAATATTTAGCATTTATGAATCCTGACTAAGCAATCCCACACTAGCTCCTACCTCTATCTGTGACCGCTTAACATGACATATTCAACAAATGTTCCTATAATAGCAGATACATACTTCTAGCCTCCTTGGGCAGGGAGAGCTCCAAAGACATGGTTTTTGAACTACATTTCATGAGTTGCTGTAAAAAGAAACTGGCATGTCACTTGGCTTTAAATAAGCATCCAAAATTCTACTGCATAATTTCGGCAAGCCCACAGATTTGAAGATGACTACAAACTACTGTTTACACAAATAAGAGGTAGCTATCAGACCTCAGGTAGCTATCTCTTACCTAATATTTTACAGTTCATTGTCTAAACATGACCTATTATAGTCTCACGGTACAGAAGGAGAATCACTCTTTCCCTTCAAAAAGAGGGATTAATTTATTTTCCCTTGTACTTTCATTTCTCTCTAAACTCTGTCTGAAAGAGTAAGAATTGCCCTTTCCCTAAAATGAAAGCTGAGCCTTGCCTTGTTTGTGGAGATTGAGAGAGTCACAAGCAATGGGTGCAGCTGTAGATCTCTGGTCAGCTCCTGATGCCCTCTCCACTACTCAATCTGTCTAGTCATCCTAAACATCTGTACGTGACCAAGAGGGCTGGCTGCCACCCAGGGCAAATGCATGGGTGTGAGCATGAAGGGGAGTGTGGGCAGCAGCTGGTTTCTGTGCCTGCACAGCCATTTTGCTATGGTAGGACAGAGAGCACAATTCACTACCCAGGTTATTAAGTGGGAGGGGCTGTCTATAACCTTGGTACCTTCAGATACCTGTCCCATGGTAAATCTGACTCTGGCCAGGTATCTATCTGCCATGGTGGTATCTAAGTTTAGGACAAGACCTAGTGGTTGTGTTACTCAATTCTCAGACACATATGTTTTACCTGGCATTTAAAAAAAAAAAAAAAAAAAAAAAAGTACAACTTCCAAAACTTTGCCTACAAAAGAAACCCCACACCTCAGAAGAAAATGGTACCTGATGTTGATACCAACAGGCACTCTTACGTAATTTAGCTCAGCACAATTAACAAAGGATATTGCTAGTAACATGTTGCAGGAAGAAAAAGTACTTCCCAAGCACCTAACAGCAACATGTTGTGATCCATGGATATAAATGGCCAAATAAAATGAAAGGATGTTAAAATGTCAGAGAAACACCAGCCTTAATCTAATGTTGTCAGTGCACTCCACACACACCTTGTAATTACTAACACATTTGGCCTACAAACACTTTTTAGAAAGGGGAGTCCACCACTTCTGTACCTTTTTGCCTAAGCTGCTTTTGATCCTTCACAATTGATTTAAACTCTTCCATCACTTCCTTTGCCTAGTGAAATAATGATGAGATGATATTACAGGGCAAGGGGGACGGGAGATGGTGGTATTTACACACATGCCAAGTAGATCTATTTGCAAACTATCAGTAAATTAAATAACACAATAAAAGTCCTAACCTGCTGGAAGCATTTTAAGCTCTTCTCTTTTCCTCCCAGCTTCTTCTGACACACACACTTCTCCTCCTTTTGCGGCATTAAACTGCTTTTCCACTTCCTTTACAACAGTGGGAATACTTCCCTTATGGGTGTCAGGATCTTTCAGGGAGGTCAGAGGTTGCCCTGCAGAGGAAATGACAAGCTGTGAAATGTAAAAGAACAATTCCTTCCACATGTTTCTTTGCTCCAGGAGCAGTAAGGGGTTGTCGGCTAGCATCATGATGGGATGGGCCAGGCCTTTGCCTAGCAGTCCTGTCAAAACTAATTTACAATTAAAGACCTGCGCAGCTGTTTAAAGCTTTACAACTCCGGCGAGTTTCAAGGACTGCCAAAGCCAAGCAGTACAAACCAACCTTATTTTTAACAGCTAGGCAGACAGACAGAAGGAAGACAGACCAAAAAATGCTCTAAATTGTACAGTAACCAGATAAATTGTATACCTGAAAATGATCCTTCTATATAGTTCATAGTTTGGAAACTGAAAAAAACCTGCTGCTCTAACTTTTCCTCTGGTTGATGCATGGGGCTCATGACCCACATGTGCTGCTGTTAGACAGCAAACCTTGTAGGGGGAGGGAAAAATAAAGTTTAGTAAAAAAATGAGCTGTTTGTTTATTGTAAGGAAATAAGTGTCCTTAAAACCAAACAGCTGAGTTACTTTTTTCTTTACACTCCCAAAGCATAAGAGAGCAGGAGGGAATGAAGGACAAGCAAACCTTCTGGAAAGAAAATGTACAGACACACAGAAAATCTGCATGTAGGTGTTCAGTCCAAAGACAACTGAGGTAATGGGAGTCTTTCTATGTGACAAATCTACCCTGCAAAGCAGTAGCAACAAAATCTCAGCTAACCCAGGTACTGGGAGCAGTGTAGTCATGCTAACACAGCACTGTACCAAAGCAAACAAAGCCTGTGTCACAAGTTATACTTAGCAAGAGCATCCTGCTGCTGGGACCAAACTAGCCTGGCTACCTTTGAACACTTTCCTTGAGAATCTTGGCTAATAACACCTCTCCTCCAACACAGCCAGGCTAAGCAAAACTCCCACTTCAACTTCACACTGTAGTGCTTGGGCTAACTTCTGCTTAAAAAGACGTAAAATTGGTCATGCTTATTTAGGTACAGGTCGTGATTTCTGCTGTAATTTGATCAAAAACTGTACACAATGTGGCACTAAAAAAAAAATATTGTTTCAATATATTAATCTTCCTTAGCCACTCTTTCACTTTTTCCCTTGTAAGCACCCTTTTTAGGTCTTGAATGCACATCATTATATGCTACAATAGTGCTGACCATAAGTTCAGGACTTCAAACTGGCCAATATTAACGAGATGTGAGTGACTAGAATGAAAAATGTTTTCCTTTGGTTTTACAAACTACAGGCAATTGAATCATCTCTGGTTTTCTACTTGCCTATTTTATTTGATCACCATTTCTGATGGGCACAAATAAGTGTTTGCATGTCATGTCAGAGGAACAGCAACTGACATAAGAGCAAGCATTTGGAAGAATGTTCCTAACAAGTGCAGAATAACACTTCCCAAATGATCCTGAGTCTGACCTAAAAGTGTTTGAACTGGCAAACAAATATATGAGTGCTGTCCAGCTACTTTTCTGAGGATGAAAGAGCTGCCACTTTCAAAAAACACTGAGTTACAATGACATTTTGCACATGTGAATCCCCTCTTCTGTGGACATTAAAGTCAAATGAGATCTTGCTTTGGATTTCAGAGTAAGAGTGGTCTCTTGAAGAAATTTTATATTGTGTTTTATATGGAGATTCACATTTCTGAAATTTTCACACATTTAGAAGACTGGGTTACTTAGATGTAAGACTATGAAGGTAAAGTTTCTGGTAGTTGAATCAAATTTTACTACACATGCTACATCTATTAGAGTTGTTACCACCTTCCACACAACAATGGCTGTGAATTCCCTGGAGAAATTGTCATTTATTTATTGATGGGGACTGTTCATCCCTTAATGGGGCAACGGATGAACCACAGAAGCCTTTCTTAAAAAAAAAAGCAAAGGATGGTGGGTTGTGAAAGCATAAACTGTGTTTCTTCCATGAACCTCTCACGGAACACCACTTCAAAAAAATGGAAAGAGATATGGTTTGGACTAAGAGGCATACTAGACCTGATAATGTGCATCTGCGACCTACAAAGGAAGTAGAATGGGAGGTATTAGGTTGCATTCCTCTGTATTGTACTCTGGAAGAGAGATCCTGTGCAGCAGGGAAGAACCATACCTAGCCCAATGCAGAACTGTGGTTTAAAAGAATGATGTAGCCTGGAGTTAATGGAAATAATATGAAGGTTCTGTCTTAAACTTCTGAAACCAAGACAAATTTGAAGTGAAGGTTAAAGCACCAACTCCTAACCTGCTCTATTTTGCTTATATGTTGCAGCGCCACATATGGTATTGATATATAAGATCACTCGTTATTTAGACTACTGCAGTAGAGAGAGTTGCAGAGCACCAGTCTTCATTTAGACTGTTCTTTCTTTCTCTGGTTTGTGTCTCAGCCTTAATGTCACTTTAACAGAGCTTTTTTTCCCCCTGCTTTTGGTGGTTTAACAGATATAATATAGTATTTATAGAGCATATCAATGTGCGACAGCTTGCCACAGATCATAAACACATTTTTCTGTTGGAAATGTTGAAGTCGTGATTTTCACCACGTGATCTCCAGTTCCCTAAGGTTTGCTCCTTTAATTGTAAATAGCCAGAAAGTCATCAAGCTAGCGTTTAATAAACTTTTAATTTGAAATGGATTACCACATGTTGTGTTTGTTTACCCATTATTAAATCTCTTAGCAACATATCACCAGCAGAAACAGCATACTGTAGCACTACATAGATACATTAAAAAACAAACCCATGGGGGATATTAGCTGTTAATAATATCTTTAAAGAAGGCTCCAAGAAAAATAAATAAATATAAACAATATCAAAAATTACTCCTAGAAATTTTATTAGTGCAAATCTGTTTGGCATGGAAATGGCAAAACTTCCATGATCAGCTTATCAACTTATTTCAGAGGTCTGCATGCAAAATAGGACATACATTAATGTTTTTTCTCAGTTATAAATACATCTTTCTGGATTTCTCAAACTGAGTATCATGAATTTTTGCATGTGTTTCCAGAAGTGTGACCTTTTTCACTGCAGCCTCTATGTGTGTGTCAGTGTGCACGTGAAGACTGATGGTAGGACCAAACAACGGCAAGGACAAGTTTGATTTGTTAAGAGTTTGTACATAACTCTTCATTGTTGAGAAAAATTGGCTGCAACTCCACCTTTTGGATCTAGTTTTGTGCTGCATCTAGAAGCACCTTAGCAGATATGTAGAAGATACATGGCAACAAAAAGGACCTTACTCCTCAGTACAATGTGTGTTTACACCTCCCTGCTTCTGGTATCAGGGTGGTTATATACAAGCCTTTTGATCACAGTGCAGTTGCTGCTTAGCCTAAAAGTGTCACAGGGCAAGCCTCATTTTCTTTATTTCCTAAACCATCACTCACTGTCTGAAAAATACTTCATCTGGCCTCTTTTCATATTATACTTCCAATCCAAGCTGCCCATTCACCACACTAAATGATTTTTGCTTATCTGCTTTTTCTTTTCTTCCAATACCTCCTCTTTCTGCTCCCATGTCTTCTACTGTGCATCACTACTGTTGTTCTAAAATGCCCAAGGAACCTCTGTCCTGAAGAACTAAATCCCTGTTTCAGATTTGCACATAATATTCAGACAGACACTACAACCTGTGGGTTGGCAGCATCTTTCAGTTCATTAAACAAGAGGAAATATTGGAATGTCTATATACCAAAAAAGAATTATTTTTGTCAATGGCAGTCAGATCCCACATGCTGAAAAAGAAAAACCAGTGGCATTGTCCTATCATGCTTTTTATTCCTGGATTTCTAATAGAAGAGGAGCCACTTCTGAGTCTATTGCATTATGATCAATTATGTCTTCAATGTAGCTACATCCAGAGACTCACAGAGGCCAGGGAGGGTGTTCAGTCTGAGTAACATTCGGCAATTTTTTGAGAAAGCTTCTGGGTAGATCTCCCTCACATAAGCAAACAATAATTTGTCTTTCCTATAGGTTACCAGTTGATTGAATCTTAATGGAATTTCCCAGGAGTAGCATAAGGCTTGCCTCTGATGCCATAACTGTCTCCCTGCCAAATTTGAAGTCCCTGTTCTAGCCCAGGGAGGTGTTAAGAGTTCTTCCAGAAATAGTTAGACAAAAAGGTATCTTTTCTTTTTTATTTCTTCCTGTAAGCTTGGTATCATAAGCAGCTGAACTGTTATTGCTGTGACTTTTCAAGCATTATCGAGCCTCAAGCAGAGGCCAGCATGAAAAGTTTCATCCTCAGCAATGAGGCTGGTTTAAATCGCTCACAACTGAAAACAAAGTTAAGCAATATTAATAAAAAGAATCAAAATATTCCTGCTGTAACACATGTTGGACCAAAATCTGAATGAGGAAAACCTAGCTTAACAAGAACAATAAGGACTAATCATCCTTGAAATGAAACTATGGGTTACTCCAACAAAAGCCTAAATACAAACATGAAGGTTTGAATCCATCACACCTTGTGGTCCAGACTGTTCCACTTTCTCTGAGACACTATTCTTTTCAGCAATGCTTGATACATGAGAAGAATACATGAGAAGTTCAGGTAGGAGATGAAGGTTCATATCACCCTTATTTTGCTTATCTGAATCTTGTGGTAGTTTAATTATCTATTAAGAAAAAAAAAAATACATTAACATAAGCAGTTCAGTATTCCACAAAGTCAGAACATACTTGTTCATATGCTATTTGTGAACCCTAGAAGTCCAAGATGCTGCTACGAGGACTTGTTCATCTGTACTCCATTTACTGCAGTTTTCTCTCCTATTAGTTTCCTTTGTACATCTTCTGCATGCTTACAGACTACAGTAAACATCCCAGTAAATGGGGGTGACTCACAATCCAAAATCAGAATCATCTGGGAAAATATAGAGTCCCTAGATCATTAAATCATCCCAGCTTATACACTGAGTTAAAAGACTAATTTTGTAGCTTTGAGGTCTTCCCTCATTTCAATCAATTTTGACTCTTCTGTTATATTTTTACCATAGCTCTACCAATACTGTTTCTGACATTCCCCTTCCTAATATATATTAGGTATATTTCTGGTATAAATTCTTATATCTCTACATGATTCTGAAGTTATTTTCACTTTCTTTTACTCTTGGTAGACCCTAAAAAGAAAATTGCCTGAAAACCATCACTACAAGAAAATGAATAACCACACTTCCTGTTAAGTAAACCCACATGTTAAAATTAAGATGCTTTCAGAATTCATCTCTTTTGGTAAGTGTTTTTTCCTGAGCCAGACGTGACTATAAAAGAGGTGTAAGTTTGAGGTCCTGTTAAGGTTCTGAATGAGTGAATGTATCTCAGTTACGATAACAGCCTTACTTTGCAAGTCCAGAAACAAAGCTTCCACTGAAGAGGAGTTCTTAACTCAGGCCCATTTTCACCAAAGGCATACAAAAAATGTCACGTCTGAATTATGTCCAAAAACTATTCAAAATTACGGTTCCTACTACAACAGAGCTCGTTAGCTGGAGATCCCAGACATACAAATGCAACAATATCACAAACAACAGCACTATTTTATTCTGTAGCCGTGTGAAAGCACCTCTGAGATTCACTAAAACTGGGAGGAAATTAACATTTGCAGGCTCAAACTCAGAATTTTAATTTTTGATCCAGTTAATCAGCACCCCAAACAATATGTTGATATTTGAAGTAATCCTAAAATTTGGCTGTTAAAAACTCACTAATTTTACATAAAATTTGGACATGTATGGGATTTTCATTTTCTTTATATGTCTACTGCATAGGATGATAAACGGCTTTTTGGAAAGACAGCATTTATTTTGAGACAGACAGACAGAAAGTGGAATCTCATCTGAGGAACCGTGACTAAACAAACAGACCTATTTTTTTTTTAAATACAAACCTGAAAGTAGAGATTGCATAGCCAATGATCCAAGTCTTGAGAAATAAAATTTTCAATTTTTTTGAATCGGTTAACTTTGGAGTCATAATGTCCTCTGAGGAAGGGACATTTAAATTTTCCCTCTAAAGCATTAAAATTGTTGTCACACAAGGGAAAAGCTCCCCATCCCACTTCTCGATCAATCAAAGTACAGGTCCCACGAAGCAGGAAGAGTTCAAAGAGGAGGACCATGCCTGGCTTCACAGCTTTTCTAGGTGGTAGAATCTAGCAAAGGAGGAAAAGAGAAGATTCATTAGTTTTAAAAACATCACGAGGGAAATTGCTTTCTTTTATCATATAAAGCTCTACAAACTTCATACCTCTGAACCAATTTTGCATGCTAAGACAATTAACAACTCTTTCCATCAAATCATGTATTTGAACAATTTTTCACTCCAACAGAAAATGCTGTGCTTTTTTAATGCTTATTTTGTGATTTCTTTTTTTTTCTTTCCCCCTTGGCTTTCTGAAAGTGTTCATTTTCTGTCTTTATTTACCAGTAGTGGAAAAACATTGTCACTAGAAAACTTTAAGTCAGAATAACAAACCAAGTTGGTAATCTGAGGTGTCTCTGTGAGGGCTGGCTGAGATTCACCACTGGGTTCTTCTTGCAGCAACTTCGGAGAGTTCATCCAAATACCCAGTGAGAACACTTGCAGGCTTGCCTCTCACTGAGTCATAAACTCTTCTCCACCCAGTTCTGGGAATAATTTTAGTACACAATAGTCTTCCTCCTTCAAATTAAAACAGGGAAACTCTTCTTGCAAAGTATGTGAACCTCAGAGTAGGGTCAAAAAGGAGACTGAAAATCAGGGGTGAAGAAACACCCTGAAGTAATGAGTTGTGTAAATCTCTGTAAGGTTCTTCTGTGTGAAGCAACGCAACATCATGGAGAAGAGGGTAGAGAAGAGGAAGAAGGATAGGCCAAGAAAAAAAATCTGGTCCCAAGACACAATTTTAACTGTTTTCTTTAATTAATGTGAAGGGTTCGCCCAGGTCCTATTGAACAGCTCTAATACATTGAAAAATGCAAATAAAACAAAAGCCATGCAAAAGATAGAACATGGAAGGTGACTACCATTATACCCTGGCTAACAGCTCTGAAGGCTGGTTGCCTGGGGACAAGGGGAGTGAATACATCAGCTACACCTCTCACACAGCAAGATATCTGCTTCATCTCTTATCCTACACATTCTCCTGGATTACGAAGAACTGGGACTGCCTAACCCCTTAAATATTCTTGGATGCTTCTCTAATAAAGACACTGTTCTATTATTTTAATATTTTGCACCTTTTATTGTTCCCATTTCAGTCCTCAAAGCTGATAGCAGCAAATGCCTTGATACATTTGCCTTGCAGAGATTCCTGCTCAACCCTCCCTGCCTTCCAGCCAAGGTAAGGAAAGAGAAGCCTTTTCTCCTTCTCTCCTCCCTGTGAATTCACACATAGTTGTAGAAGACCACAAAAGTCAAGGTTACCCTCTGACTCTGAGTGTCCTGTAGGATATACCTCAGTACTTTTTGAAACTCAGAATAAGAACTCCAAATAGAAGACATCCTTCCAAACTGATCGCCCACTATTAAAATCCTGAAATGCCAAAGTCTTCTTGAACTCTCAGGGATTTCCTCAATGAGATGACATTCTGCTGATAACCATCCATGAATCTTTACTGTTTCAACTATTTCTGCACATAAGTACACACCTCAATGCAGATCTTTCTTGACTGATATTTTTAAATACAAGCATCTCTTTTTATACTCCTGATTAACAGTAGGCAAAATCGTAAGTGCAACTCAGGTACAGCCAAGATTTTTCTCTCTCTCTATTTCTGAAGCAGCTAAGGGATTTACCCATACCAGTAACTGCTATGTTAGGAGATGACACATATTCCCAGTTGTGTTGCATTCTGTAACTTTTTTTTGAAGAGGTGAACAGAAATTATTATTTAAATAATATGCCTTCCCATTTCAAGTAATATACTATGATTAGATAACGGCAAGAGAGAGGAAGTCATTTAAGGAAATCTTTAAAAACTATAAATATTGTCGTTATCATGTAGGTGTACTTTATATTAATTATGTAAATATATTCTAAGACTTAGTGTAGGCTTAAAATGAAACAGAAGCATCTGTTGAAAAATGCCATAACCCTGTGGCAGCTGCTATTAAACCATTAACAGTATCAGGTTTCATTTAAACCAGATTTACCATTTTCTATAACAGCCCGTGGGAAAGCTAAAAACATTAGGCACAAATTACTGACAAAAGAGATCCTTAATCAAGCCATACATTTCATTTGGCTAGCTGGGTGCTAGATAGCAACCTCTATGTTACAAATTAAAGGTGGTGGTTACAAGACTATGATCAAAGACAATTACCTGCACTACTGAACAATCCCAAAGCATAAGCAGCTGAAATCACTGCCGTAGCACAATATCCCTTTTGGTTTCTGCCTTGTTTTCCAGACTCACGCTTTCCTTTAGAATAACTTCATAGTACACTCTCTTCTACCAGCCTGCCTACAAACAGACAGTGGTCAAGCAGTTGTTTTAAGCCTAATGGTGACGATTACAAAATCATTTATTCTTTTCCTGCTTATAGTTAGGCTTCATTTACTATGAGCTCTCAACCTGGACCTAGATTGCAAACTCACTCTTTGGGACTGGAAGCATCTCTTTGTTTACAGTTACAGGAGCTGGATGATTAAAGCCATGCCATGATACAAACGCATAATGACAAAACATAATAAGAAACATAAGGATTTTGTCACACACCTGTATGCTACAAACCTTGAGGCTATATGTTTCATTCTGGGAGTCCTCATGCGTGAACACTGGGTATCTGACCCAGCTAGGACAGTGTCACACATCTCAGCATACATGTTCAAATAAAACACACCTACTAAGTAAGAAAATCTTTTCTGTTGAATCCATACAAAAATCCTGCCCAAGTCTCTGCCTGTTACTGGTGCTGGTGCACCAAGCATTCATGCAGGTGCCTGTGGGCTTTCATTTCCATCCTGACAGCCGCCAGGAGTGTGATTTATACAGGGGAACGGCTGTTTAAGAAGGGACAGACAGGCTGAAGCAAGAGAGTTTCAAAAAGGAGGCAGGTTGACTCAATAGCCCCATGCTAAACCTATTCCCATCGCCACAGTGAACCACATCTCCGTCACAGCCCACTGTCCCACAGCCGCAGGGAGGGAGCTTGGTGTTGTGCCACCTGCCCTTCATTAACCTCCTCCTAGGTGGCGAGCCTGAGAGCAGGGATTTGGGGCAGGGCCAGCACGACCCGTAGGCATGGATGCACAAAGGCATTTAGGCACATAGCTCCAATTGGAATCCACAGTGGTCCTTGAGTGCCTCCGCGGGTTTGGGTTGTCTGGCTCAGGTACAGGGCAGGGAATAACTCAGGTGGTTAAAGAAGGAGGGGAATCAGTAATTGCTCTCTCATAAGAGACTCGGGGCAGTGCCTGGGATGAGAAAGGCACAGGCAGCTCTAACCAGTTAGTTTTGATGAACTGTTTGGTTTCAGAAAAAGAAAAAAAAAATTTGAAAATCAGCAGTTATATTTTCCCAGTTGGTGGCAACCTCTTTTGAGGCACTATTTGGTAAGTTAGTCCACAAACCTGCACCAACACTGCTGATGTTCAAAGAGAACACACTGTGTAAATACACCTTCCTGGATTTTAATGTGTCTACTCTAACACCTTAGCTCACTAATTCTCCTTGCTCAGGTAAAATTTCTGTTGAGGCCTGTGAGGTATATAGCCTTTACAGTGCTATGAAAACATCCAACGCCCGCTTTTTACTGGTGTAATTTCTTCTGCAAAGAGAGATGCAGCAGAGAATAAATAATGCTTGTGTGTGCCTGCACAGGCACAAGTAATTCTTCTTAGTCTGCAGTTAACAGTGTTGCATTTAATTGAATTAAATCATAGTGAACTAAAATTATCTCTTGTCACTATTTCTGAATTCAACTGTTTTATATCAGTTTTATTGTAATATATCTTCCTTCCCCATATGCCACCATAATTCCAGCAAAGAAATCATTTACTCTAGAGAGAGAATGAATTCTATTTGAATATTTCAATAAACAGATCCAGCATGAGGATTTGGGGGGTTTTGTCTGACTTACTCTTGGGCTTTAACCTTGTCAGAGAAGAAATAAACCTTCGCTCCACTCCTCTGTGTCTTCAAATGCTTTCAATTTATAAGAAAGGGATAAAAATTACATTACTTAATTCAAGTAACACAAAAATTTGATCATGAAGCAACTTGATTAAAGTGAATTATAATATGCAAAGGCAATTCAGTATTTATTTATTATATAGAATAACCTTGCAAAACACCATATAAATTAACAGCTCATCGTTTCTGGTTATGAAAACTGTAGCAAATGAATCTCACTGGTGTAAAACATGGGTAGAAAACCTTTTAAATAGGAAGCAGTTGCCATCAAACGATTTCATTAACAAAAAATTACTTCACGAAGTAAAATGAATAATGCTGGAGACAAGGCTGCTATTGCCAAAATAAGGTGGAGCTTTCACAACCAGATTTCAAGTCCTCCCTGTTTACCTGCAAGGCCAGCATACAGGCAGAATGCAGGAAGGGCATTCTGGGGAAGTGTTTGTGTAACTTTGAAATTTATAAAAGGCCAGAGGGGAGGGAATAGAAACATAGACTGAGGTAAAAATAAAATATCATGTTATTAGGGTTTTCCAAAGGTCCTATCTATCATCAGAATGTCCTGGAGTAGCTGGAAACTTACTTCCCCAGCTTTCCATTGCTGCCTGTCTTTGAACAGGTATCTGAATACAAAATAGCACACAAATCAAAGGAGGACCATGTAGTGCACTATCATTCATTTCCCCATACAATTTTTTTTTCTATTTTCTGAATAAATGAACAGACCTCTCAAGGCTGACATAGCTCAAACAACTCCCTGCAGCTTTCAGATCTTCATAAACCTTTATGCAGTACCACCATCTTTCCTTTGACCCCATACCCCAATCTCCCAGATCGTGGGGGACTACAGACCAGAAGCAGTTGTGGTGCAGCACATGTGCTCAGGATCACGGATGAGCTGCTTGGAACTCAGAGAAGCAGTATCTGTAAGCAGGCAATTCATTCACCACTCTCAGTCCCACAGCAGAAGCAGTGAGCAGGATTTCTCCTGATAGACTGTGCCAAAGCACCCCAGCACCTTCCCAGAGCCTCACCA